TTACTATGTTATGTTATTCTTATTATTATTGTTACTTTTATTATCATTATTATAGTCTTTGATGTTATCATTATTTCAGTATTAACCTTTTAATAATAGGCATTGTCACTATTGTTATTTGCCTTAGTATTATTGTCATATATATTATTAAATCTATATTATATTCTAACTGCAGTTTAAATAGCTAAATGAATAGGAAGTAATGATACTAAGTAATATGATAACAATTTTTGCAGTTAAGGACAAAAAGAAGAAGAAAGAGAAATTAACAATCGACTATTCTTACCTGTCTTGTGAACATCATCTGGCCATGGTCGGAGGTCTGGGCCTTATTCCTTCGGGCGACATCCTGCTGGTTGGTCTCGGTGGAGGTCCCTTGGCCACGTATATCCATAAGTATATTCCCAAGGTAGGGGCTTTTGTCACACCTTTAGCCAAGGTACTTATAAGACAGGGAGTACCACTCTGTTGCAACGAGAATGCTAGTTGGCAACTCCCAAGCTAAGCCTCGCCCCTTTATCATCATCTAGTGCACATTTTTGTGTCTTTATTATTTTGTTTATATTTTTTTTATTATTGAGCAATTTTCAGTAAAAGGGTACTTAGGAAATACTTCACAATATATCACATTGATTAATGGGAGTGAAAATGGGGCTGAGCTAAATGATGTCACATTTAGCCAATGAGGGTGCATTGTGAGATACCACCAGATAAAGCTAAAGAAATTATTATTTGTAAGCTTTATTAAACTTATAATATAAGTAAAACAGAAGTTGCACTGTTTTGTTTAGGATAACAGTGTTCCATACCATAAAGTCATCATAATAGTTCAGATTAAACATCAGTTTCATATTTGGGTTCAACAGGGTATATGGAAGTGGTGCTATCTTTTTTTGGGGGTGACAAAGACTAATTTATTTTTCTGGATAGAGTGTGAATAGTGGCAGCTTTTATAGGTCCCTCATCATTAGTATTTGAATGGGAGATTTTTATTTTTTATTTTTGTAATACTATACTATGGACCTTTTTTTCCCTATTTTTGTGCATCTTTATTCATTGCAGGTAACACTTACAGCTGTAGAACTTGACCCATCGATGGTGGAAGTTGCAAAAGAATGGTTTGGTTTTGTGCCCGACTCAAGACTAAAGGTGGAAGTTGGCGATGGACTTGATTATATTGCCAAGAAGGCTGAAGAAGGTAAATTGATTTGAGATTTAGTATAAGTAAAGGAAGATCTATTAATGTTTTTTTCTTTTTATTTTTATTTAGTTTTCATAGTTTTATGCATCTGCACATTTATGGATATTTTTAAGGGAACCATCCCATGATCAAAATTGACGAATCATGGTTTGAATACCTATCCATATAAAGATAATGGCCTTGAATAAGGAATAGTAAGTAATTAATTAAAAAATGAAATGCATAAATGAATAATTTGCTGATCATGTGTTTATTTCCTGGGGCACAAATGCAATAAAATAAATATGTTCATTTTTGTGCTTTGTCAAAACAGTGCATATTCATATTTCTAGCTTCCACTACCACACACCCCCTTTTCTCACATCCTGGAATGATCAAATCTTGGATCAAGATTGCCATATAAGCAGTTATGTCTTAATTTCTTTTACTTAAAAAATATATGTATTATTATTATTATTTTATCTATTATATTTTTTAAATCTTTTGTTGTTGGAGCTGTTATGTTTATATTTATTGAAAATTATTCTCTTTCATTCCAAAGGTACAAAGTTCAGTGTAGTTCTCTTCGATGTAGACTCTAAGGATTCTAGTGTTGGCATGAGTTGTCCTCCGAGAGATTTTGTTGAAAGATCATTCTTGGAGAAAGTGGCAAGTTGTCTGACTGACAGAGGTAGGTTTGTGTTTACTTTTGTGTTGCAGTTGTCCAAAGCAGATAGATAGATTGTCCATTGAGAATCATGACATAAAAGTAAGAAATTGAGAAATTTCGATCAAAGTAGTATTGTTGAAAAAAAAAAAAATTGGTAAGATTGATTTCTATATTGTTTGCCAAGTAAACATTTAACTACTGTAGAGAAGGGAATTCTCTCTCAGTCTATTTATTTTACATCAATACTTTTATTTTGAAGACAGAAACTATGAATCAGCAACATTACATAATTAAGATATTCAAAGAGATTCATATTACTTTATCTTTTTACATTAAATTAAAAGAGGAGGAGATTCATATAAATAAAATACTTTAATATTTAACTGACAGTTTCAAAATGTTTTTCAGGGTTGCTGATTCTCAACTTGGTGTGCCGAGATGAAAAACTAAAAGCAGCTGTAATTAGTGATATAAAAGCTCTGTTTCCATCAGTCCTTTGTCAACAGATCCCAGAAGAAGTAAATTGTGTCCTCTTCTGCTCTTTGTCTTCACAGCAGGCAAACTTGAAGTCGGATTTTGAAAAGGGACTTAAGGAGATTAACAAGTCTCTTAAACAGAATCAGAGAACTAAAGAGGATGTCATTAATACCTCTGAAGTTTGCCAGAACTTGAGTATTTTGTAATACCTTAATTTTGATTTATATATGAAAACATTAAAGTATAATAATAATATGTTTTCTTTCTCAAGTATCCTACATCTTATAGGTATTTGTCAATACAGAAACTTCTTGAAGTATCTGAAATATCATTTATACAAATATATATGTACACACTTAATATGTAAACTCAAGGGAAGATGCTCTAGATGCTGCAGTTATAGTTGATTCATGGCTCAGAATTCAATCTTACAGCCTTCTTTTCTATTTATGTTAACCCAACGCCAATGGAAAAATGTTACTTTCACTCTAGTATTTTGTTAAATGTTTCTACATAGATGGCGCTGCCAGTGCTTAGCCACAAAGGAGTCAATTAGTAGATCTTGTGACCTCACCTTTCCTTGAAATAGTGGGAAAACACTTTTTTACTAATGCTATCAATATTGACTGTTGTTTTTGTTACAAACACTATAATTACTATATTGTTATTAATATTACTAACAGCAGTATTACATACAAGAAAATATTATTGAAAATCAAGGAAACAGTTCGCGTAACTGACTCATTGGTGACTTAGTACTTGTGGAGCCATGTATATGTAAAAACAATTATTAGATTAAACACAATGGGCATAGCATGTATGCACATGCATTCCCATTTGGCAAGTAGTTAAGTCACATGTTTATAATAAATGTCTCAAGCAAGAACAGCTGTCATACCGAGAATGCAATGAAAACTCTTAATTTTATAAAATGGTTCTGAAAAATAATTTTAACATGATCTTCACTCACTAAGAAAAGCATGCTCCTTTTTGTTTGTTTACTAATAAGCCAATTTGACTAGGCTAGAAGACCATCTGCTGTTAGGCCCTCAAACATAATTAGGAACACTAGACTACATATTTATTTTGCATACCTTAACAGCCTGATCTACTCATCCATTAAAATCATCAATTAAATTTTTTCATCAAACTGATCAATAATAGTTTTCAGGGATATCAACCATCTAAATCTGAGAGAAAATCTGATAAGATGTCTTAGGGTGAGGGATTAAGGGATAGTACAGAAGACAACAGATAACCAACAGAAACAAGTTTATAGATATTTGATGTAGATAAATCTACCACTTATATACCATATATATTGAGATTATAGGAGCAAAAAGTATATCTACCTTCTATATTGATATATCTTCCATGTATACTAGCTGTTACTGCTGATACTTCTTTCCATCTACTTTTGTTTCAAAAAAAGAAATATTTTCCAGTGCATACTTCAAAAATGTGTGCAAATTTGTACATGGATTTTCAGACAGCATGCAGGGTCCCTATATTTCGAGTCTACACACATTTATGCAGTTTTAGTTGAGTGTGTATGGTGGCAAATCATCAGAATCTATTCTGAACATACTGAGATACCTTTTTTTCAAAATAAGTATTTTAGGTTTTTAAAGAATGAGAGCTGAACTTGATTGATATAAGGTAAAATATGATAGCTGAACTTGACTGATTTAAGGTAAAATACTCAAGTTTATACAAAATCATATGGATATGAGGTATATTTATTAAGCAATTCCTTTGGGGCATTTGACTTTTTAATATATTTCACATTCAGACATTTCTCCATTTGGTAATTTTTTGAGCCTGTAGAATCTCCCATAAGCTTGCTATGAATATTTTATCCTTCAGTTACCCCTCAAAATACTGAATACTGAATATTAAACCTTGATAGTGAGAGTTTATCCCCATCAAGCTACATGCAAAATCATTAAGTTGTGATATCTTTCTTTATCTTTGTGAATATATGCCCTTAATCTTCATGTACACTTGGAAAGGCCTTGTGTACTGTTTATATTTCCCATGTTTGATGGGTGGAGGGTTGAAGGTACTCAAACAAGGGTTAACTATCTTGCTTCATTGTTGCACTGAATAGACTATCTAAAGAAAACGTGTATACACATTAGATAATTATCATTTTAGTGTTTTAACTGTAAGTTCTTTATTTTCTAAGACTATTTTCTAATGACTCCAAGTCAAAACTGTATATTTTTTACTAAAGATATAGTTTCCAGAAAACAAATAACTGTGATTATAAGTTCTCAGACATTTGCTGGGAGTCATTGTTATTGGATAATAATTCTGGAAGGCCTGGCACATTAAGGCACACTCAATGATGTTTTAAAATGTACTGTTACTTTGATTTAATTTATACATGTCCGAAGGATGATATCCATATTTGTATCACTGAAGAACAGGATGAAGTTGGCTTAGAAAAGGACTACACTAAAATACAATATCAAATTGAATTTCATTGTTTCATTCATCAAATACTGTTCTCAGTTCATAGTCTGAACTGTTCTTCTGTATATCAAAAACTGTGAACATAGAACTTTAAATATAACTGTCATATGAAGGATGCTTGCATAAAAACTTATTTAATTTTTCATGTCATGTAACTCTTCCCTTTCTCTTGAAATTAGGAATTAAAAGTCATTGTACAAAACGTTATTTATTCTTATAAAGGTACTCATTGGAATGAACAAGGACATGAGAGTTCAGGTGAGAAAATGGTTTTGAAATTCAACCAACATTTTGCCATTTAAATTCACACTGATTGGTTATATAAACCTTTTTGCAACTTCTGCAAACATAAAATTGAACTGTTTTCACTTATGAATAACATGGGATTCACCAGAATGACACTCATCTCCAATGCACAAACCAAAATTCTGTAATAGTTGTCTTGGGCACACTTAGTTTCTCACTGATTCTCCTTTGAATACAGCAAGATGACGAAATTTTTGGCCATCAGTGTCAGTGCTTGTATATAAAAATTTCTACCCTCAAAGACATACAACTAAAATGCGAATGTAAATTCTGGCGGGCTTTTCTCAACAAATTGCTCTTATCCTGAGGAAAGGAAACATAAAATTAAAACAGCTTTATCTTTAGACTATTCCTTCATTTGGCCTTCTTCTTCATCATCATCTTCCGCACCACGAATATATAGGACGTTATTGCAGCGGATGAGTACCTCCCCTAGGCTTCCTGTTGACTGGCCTTCAATGTATTCTTCTGTGTTGGCAAGCTGTAAAACCAAAAAAGATGCACTATAACCTCTTCCTCTTACTGTATCAATGAAATAACTGACACATACTAGTCTGTTGGACTATGTACATTTTATTATAAATCTGTATAGTCTCCTATTCAAATTTTATGCTGGTATATGTCATAGAAAGTGATATGATAATTGCTAGCTTATGATAGATACAATAAATCCTAATCTAAATAGCACTTTCCTTTGTATTTAAAGGAATAAAACCTGACTTCCTACTAATTTCAAAAATAAAGAAAATAGACAAAGATAAGTGTCACTGCCCTCTGTATCTGAAATTGCTGTAGGCTTCATGCCTCCAATTCCAGCAACGGCCAACAAACTTCCACTCCTCATGTGAGTAAGGTAGTGCTTGCTTGGTTCCTTATTTCACAACAAACTACCAGACAAATCCCACATGCTCTATCTAAGCCAAAATCAACACATTACTTTGGAAAGAAAGTTAACAAAGAAGAAATTCTTTCCTTAAAGTTTTACATACCTGGAGGTTCATATAGCCATCAACTGAGACAAGAATTCCCTTATATTCATGGCCCCATTTCAGCTTTACTATGACAGCCTGTCCTGTCAGCTGGTTAAGGAAGGGCTTGGGGTTGATGGGAGTGGGAACGGCAATGGACTGAAAGAAGAAGAAAAAAAAAGTTATATATCATCTGAAAACTTAAACTTCCATTGCCTAACAAGGCTATCATCTACATTCCACATAAAAGACTAAATAGATAAAAAAATAAAAATAAATAAAACTCTATGGCAAGTTCACAGTGAAATGGAAAAATAAAATTTATTTTGTTTCTGGTAATATTCTACTTTCTACCTAAAAAAAGACACCAAAGACAAAATTTAAGGAGTGTTTTGCTTACATTAGTTTAAAACAGCCATGTACTTCAGAACCTTTAAACACATAACTAAAATAAAGACAAACTTGATTCTTTGTATTGCTATTTTTTTCAGTCTTGACTTTATATATATATATATATATATATATATATATATATATATATATATATATATATATATATATATATATATATATATATATATATATATATATATATATATATATATATATATATATATATATATATATATATATATATAATATATATATATAATATATATATATATATATATATATATATATATATATATATACACACATACATACATACATATACATACAATATTAAGCCATGAATGAAAGCGATTAATCTTTACAGTATGAATACACTAAGGCAGGGTAAATTAAAGATGATATTCTTGCATAGGACTTAAAGTTGTAGTTGTTTGTACAAGAAATACCCTGCATGGTAGCTTAACACCACAAATAAAAGATAAAAATCATGGAAAGTGCCACCCACCCACTCACTCTGGCTGTGGGTGGCACAGTTCTATCTTGCTGTGCATACCATGGTGAAGACAATGTTTCCTAGGGAGTGTTAGAGTGCCTCCCCCTTAGGCAGTCAGGCATACCCAGTCATGGCAACTTAGATTGTTAAATAAATCTTGTGACATGGAGTTGGGGTCTTCGTCTCTGGAGACTCTGTGTTCATACTATAAAGATTTACTATGAACGGATTCAGATAATATACAAACTAACCACTACATTTCTTCACTAATCATAAACCATTATAACTTGTAAACAATTGAATTATGACAACTAACTAGCGTCTCTTGCCCCCCATCAACCCTTCCCTCGGGCAGTGCCCGGCAGGCACACCTAGTCATGGCAATTTATATTGATATATTAGGTTGGTTTATTGGTCAATATGTTTTTTGGGGGGTTTGGAACGTGTGAATTCCCGTAGAGTTTTGCCAAAAAGTGGGTTGGGCTCACGTTGTTTTTGATTTCCAGCGCGTCAGTCTGTAGAATTTCAAAGATGGCGGTTACATCCGTAGAGTTTCATTGGCCAATTTTAAGCATTTTTTGTGCTAGTTTTATGCATTTTATATCTTTATTCTTCTTATTTAAGCCTGTTTTA